CCGAGAGGGTGGCCGGCCGGGGACACGCCTGGCCCGCAGCCCAGCACCTTCCACACCAGCCGCCGGGTCTGGAAGCTGTGACTGACGAGAATACAAGCAGCCACAGCAGGAGGCCCGCCCCCGAGGGCCGCGCCCCAGACAGCCTGCAGCTGACCCACACCGGACACCATGATTCCGTTAACTTTTGCCCAAAAGGGTTTCAAAACAACGAGGGCTGCTGGAGCACCACTTCTGCATCACACCTGAGAGCATGCCAACACCCAGGGCCTCGCGGGCCGGGCCCTGGTCACCCTGTCGGGCAGCTAAGACCCGACTCAGACCCCCACCAGGGGCCACGCGTGACCCCAACAGCTGGAGAACGTCTCGGGATGCACTCCCTTCTGAAAAGCAAGCTTGACTCATCTCCCCAAGGGCGAGGGTTGCATCCCCTCCTCCAGTGGGAGCGTGGGCGCCGCCTCCCAGCCAGGCCTCAGGCTACAAAGGTGCTCCCCCGAGACGTGTCAGCCCCAGCGACACAAAACTCGTCCCCTCACCAGGGCCCCTCCCACGCTCCTGTGGGCAGAGAGGACAGACACCCCCGTCCCCACTCTGCCGCCCGCTAGGAAGTCCTGGGGGCTGCCCTCCGAGGACTCGGGGCGCAGACCCCACTGGGCCTCAACCAAACACACACAAACTGAGTGACTTGCAGAAGCGGCCTCCTCTCGGGTCCTCGAGTCCAGGGAGGCTCCTCGCTGCCCCTCTGCTCACAGAGCAAGCGGCCCCCTCAGGCCCCACTGCACACCCTATCCTCCGCCCGAGGCCATCGACCCACAGGCGATGGGGACACTCCCCTCACTGCAGGGGAGTGACAGCGAGCAGCCAGGGTTCCGGGCTCGAGTGCCCGGGGGGGCCGCAGGGAGCTGACTGATGGCCCCCGGAGCCCCGCTGCCTCGCCCGCTTGGCCCACCCCCGCCCCATCCTGGTCAGCCGGTGCCCAAGCAGAGACCACGTCCTGTGACGCTTTGGTCCTGGAAATGCCTCGGCTTAAAAAAGGAACAAGCTTGTGGGAAATCAGAATTCAGAACTGAAGGGCAGCAGGGCTGGTGAAGGGCCAGCAGCCCCGCCTGCCCAGGGCAGCCCCCCGCCCGGCCCAGGGGCAGCCGTGTGACCTGGAGGAGAGGGAGCTCAGAGGCCTCCCTGCAGGGTCCCCCTCTGGGGAGAACCCCAGCCTCACAGCCACCCCAAGGGCGCAGCCAGGCTCTGGGGGACAAGGGGCAGGGTAGCACCCCGTCTGCTCCTAGAAAAGCCCACAGCATCCTTGCTCCAGTGGGGCCGGAGCTGTGAGCACTGCTGCCCGCAGGCAGGGTCCCGGCTGAGGGGCTGAAGTGTGAGGATGTGCCCCCACCCGCCAGCCCCTCCAGATGCGAGGCCTGTCCTGCCAGGCAGGCGATGGCGTGTCCACACCGGGACCCCCTTCTGCCTCATCTGCGGCTGCTGGGGTCGGAGGGGGCGGAGGTCGGAAGGAGACCGTGTGCGCAACGCGGTCACAGCAGGGCCTGCTCAGCCACCCACAGCCGCCCCAGCCACGGTGCCCCGTACCTGGGACCACGCCGTTGGTCGCGATGGCGCTCATGGAGATGGCCGTCAGCATCGTCTGCAAGAGGACGGGCGCCCTTCAGAAAACACAGCCTCTGAAGAGGACAGCTCCGGCTGGGGCGGTGCCCACCTGCAGGCTGGCTGCCGACTCCCAGCTCCTGACCTCAGCTCCCCCGGGCACCAGAACCTCAGCCCCACTCTCTCCCCCTTGACCCCCGAAGCGAAGCTCCCGCGGGCCGCTCAGAAAACACCCGACGCCGGACCCCGTCCCGCAGTGGAGGGCTGGCTTCTCGTGGCGCTGACCTCCCTGTGGGGCGTGCAGGACCCCGCCCAGTACGCACCTGCCCAGGGGGTCCCCGAACCCCCTCTAGGTGCCCACCCCCCGCGGGGTTGGAGGACCACTGGACCCTGCCCAAGGCGGGCTACCTCCGGCTCGCACCACCTGCTCAGGGAAGGGGCCACACCTGTAGCTCGGGGAACGATTACTTCACAACCCGAGGACCAGAAGAACAGCCCCGGGAAAGCGTGAGGCCCCAGGGACCCCGACCCGTGCCTGCCTGGGCACGTTTCCAGCCTCACAAGGCCCTGCCCCGTATCCTGCTTTCTGTCTGTTTTGGGGGCAGTTGCCCCGAAGATACTTCCAGGCTCATTAAGTGAAAGAGGCACTCAGGACAGGAAGGACAAGGTGTGACCTCTGGGCAGACAGCCCAGGACCGTGGGCACGGAGGGCCCCGGGCGGGGGGCGCAGTGGGGAAGCAGCAGGGGACGGTGGGCGGCCGAGCAGGGTCGGGGGGCTCCCGACCCCACTGCATTGCTTGAGTCTTTCAGACACTGCATCTCCGGGCAGCACTTGGGCTGAATTGCCCTCCTGGTCACAAACGAAGGGGTAGAGGGGAGCAAGGCAGGTGGAGCTGGGTGCTGAGGGCACGTGGAGGCTAAGCCAGGCCCGACAAAGCGCGGGAAGAAGACACGTGCTCCACGGAGACGCACCTAGGGCTGAGCGTGCCGCCAGCGAGCGCCCCTTCCTCTCCACGGGAGGCCCCGAGAACAGCCACCTGGAGGGGGACCCCGTCTACACGCAGGACGAGTGGCTGTGAGTGGTGCCTGGGGGGGACGCACACCCTGTGCTCCTGCAGATGCGGCCCCAGACACCCCCTCAGGCTCCTCACGGGCCTGGTCCCGCCCGCCCGGGAGGCCATCGTTCTGTGCTCACACAGCCCTGGGAGGGACTGCCCGTGGGGACAGTCCACTGGCTCAGTGCAGGGGCCCCTGGAGCGCCCCAGCGAGGATGCCACGCTCACTCACGCAGGTGCAGCACATGGACACGAGAAGGAGAGACTCCAGGACGCCGGCCGCCCCCACGATCCAGGTCAGGCGCAGGAAGAGGATCACCCCGAGGATGTTCTGCAGGCAGGGCAGGTAGACGCCAATGAAGGTGCCCATGCGGGGGCCCTGGAAGAGAGCACAGCGGGTGGGTTCTGGGGGCCGCCCGCCCCTCCCGTCTCCCCCAGGAGCCGAGTCCACAGGTGGGCCCTGGGGGCCGCGACGAGGTCGGGGGATGGGAGGACGAGAAAGGAGACCAGCAAAGCACGCAAGCTTCAGTCACAGGGAAAATGGGAGAAGCAAGAGCGAGACCCTGGCTGCCCAAGAGTGGGAACCACGCCAGCGGGCAGACGGGGTGCAGAGCTTGGCGCCGCCTCTGTGGGAAGGTGGGCGTGTTGGGGAGGACGGGGAGCGAGCTGCCCCCGGCTCTGTTCACTGCACCCGCAGCCCAGGTAGAGCCTCCGGAAACCAGACATGAGGGAATCGAGACAGCGAAGCCTTAGGGTCCAGCCATCGTTCCCAAAACATCAGGAAGGGCAGAAACACCACGTCCAGACAGAAGCCTACAGCATCTTGCCTACTTGGTGGGAGCGACCAAGGGACCAGGAGCTCAGAGAGGACGCCCTCCGGAGTCACCCCTCCCCAGAGGGCCGCCCAAAGCGGGGTGACGTCGGGGAGGGCGCCTGACGCAAACATCTTCCGCAACCTGGAAAGGCCGCAGCCAAGCAGACCAGCCCAGAGGAAAGCTTGGGGACAAGGCCAGGGGCCCGCCCGGCGCCAGCGCGACACCACAGCTGGGCGGCACACCCGTGCCCAGCAGGTGGTAAAAGCTGCTGTGGGTCTGCAGCCTGCACGCAGAGCGGGCGTGCACGGTCTTGGGGGCTTTTATCTGCACAAAGACGAGGACCCACACAACAGCGGCAGCAGCGCCAGCTCTGCTTCATGGTCTCGGGGAGCGCGAGACACTGATGCAACCCCTCCTGTCCAAGCGGCAGCAGGGCCCCCGCCCGGCCTCAGGCCCAGCTCGTGCAGGGCTGTTCTCTGTCCAGTGGCTGAGATGACCTTGAGTTGTCCTGAAAGGCCGGATGGGGCCTCCAACCCTCTCATAAAAGGCAGCTTTGAGGGTCAATCTGACCCGGTCACAAGGCCCATGATGCCAGGGCCACCCGGGCCCTGGAGAAGGCGCCTCTGGGGGGACCAGCACCTCACCTCTGTGCCAGCTGGTCAGACAGACGTGCAGGGGGCTTCCGCCCCCTCACCCCAGGGGACCGACATCAGTCTTAAGTGGGGCTCCGGTTCATCCCCACCAAACCTACCCAGCTGGCCACACAGCAGTTCTGCTGAGGATTACGGGCAGCTGGGTCCCTCCTGGGGCAGAAGCCCAGCTGTGGCACCTGGTCCCAGGTCCCCGGGGACGGAGGCCGGGCAGCTGCCTGCCCCGGGGCAGGTACTTTAGGCCCCGCCCTGTCCATGCTGTGTGCTGTGTGCGGATTCCACAGCCTGGACGGGGCTCACAGCACAAATTACAGCAGCAGTGTGGGCTGCATTTCCATCTGTGCGTGAGGAAGGCTGTGGGGAGACTCGGCAGTGGGCTGGGGCCACGGGCAGAGGCCGGGGGTCGGTCCTGGGAGCCTTTCCCCAGAGCAGGGCAGGGCTCCCCTGGGACACGATCTCTGACAGACAGAGGGATGGACATGCAGCACAGGGACGGCCTGTGGCCCCCATGGTCCAGAGCAAGAGCCTGAAACCCCAGAAATGTGCCCAGAAGCAGTTCACCCACAGCCACGGCAGTGGTCACCTCCCAGCGTGGCAGCCTCCCCCACTCCCGGGAAGGCCCCCGGGAGGTCCTGGCGGGGGTCCACTGAAGTGGCCTCCGCCCCTCTGCCTGGGGAGGGCAGCCAGCGCGAGGCTGGACAGGAGCGCGCTCCAGGCTGCCCAGTGGAGGCCGAGACCCCACATGCCGCCTCCGTTACGTCCTCCTGAACAGCAGGTTCTTCCCTCGCACTGGCGCCCTCAGGGGCGCAGGACGCAGCCTGTAGCCTGCTGGTTTACAGGAGGAGGAAAGAGAGGGGGTGCCTGCCCGTGGCCCGACTTCTGACGGCCGCGGGGGCCGGGGCCAGTCTGGACCGGGCACGAAGGAGGCCCTCGGGGAGCCAGGCACCTCGGCTCAGGGATGGCCAGACCAGCAGGGCAGGGAGGTGGCCAGGATCGCCTGCCGGCTTTGTCTCAGCATCCAAGCTGGGGGCTGCCCCTCGAGGCGAGCCGGGGCTCAGGCCGCACCTGCCCTCCTGCTGCTCGCTCTGAGAACAGGGCCTGCAGCCTGCTCTCCACTTGAGAGCTGGGGAACAAAAGGAAATGTTACTGCTGAGGCCTGGGACAGCCGAGCCGCCGGCAGCGGAGTCGAAGAGGGTGAAACCGCTGCGAGATGAGGCCAGGTGTTTGGTCAAGATTCCAGAGAGGAAGGGACGTGGGTAACTCTTCCCGAAATTGGCCTGAGGTGTTTTTCCTGAGCACCCTCCTGAGTCACCGCGGGCAGGACGGGTGTCCAGCCCCGGCCGCCCCAGCCCCACGGCCCCTCTCCTGAGCAGCTCCACGCTTCCAGGTGCGGCTCCTACAAAGCCTCCCCAGCAGCGTCCTCGCGCAGAGCCCTCAGGGCCACGTGGCTTCACCTGGCGCAGATTCCCAGA